ATTAATTTTAACCCTCTGAAGATGAGAGAGAGATAAGGAAGTTAAAATGGAGCGGGGATAGTAGTGAGAGGCACTACATTTATTGCGGGAATCACAGATATTTTTTCAGCTATGAAGGTTCCCAGGCACTGCTCGCTCGTCCTTCTGGTGAAAATAGATTGAAGAAGGTAAGGAAGAGCATCTTATACTTAAAAGGTTCCCAGGCAATGTCCGCTCGTCCTTCTGGTAAGAATAAAGTAAGGGTGAAGACGTTAGGGCGGTAATTAGTGACAGTTTTCTAGCAGAAACGACGGAAATTTTGAATTGCTTATTAGAAAATTCTGAACCTATAATTTTGAAAGTTAAGCAGGTAATTTAACGGCATCCCCTAGAGAGGGGGGGGGGGAGTGTAAGTTCTGACGAGTTTAAATAGGGAAGGCTACACGAGAAGCATGCAGTGGAAACTTGAAACCCAGTATTTCTAAACAACGTTTAATGATTCAGTCCGTACCGCAAAGAAAACACTTTCTGCACCGAGGATCAAACGAAAAACGTAGATACAACGCGCGGAAAAGTTCAGAACTATTTATTATTCTAGCAGGTGGGTGATACATGCACTGAGCCTCTAGCGGGTTTTAAAAGGTTAACTGCCGCCCATATCAAAGGCTGGCTGAGTCCTGGGCCCTAAGGAGTTCCAGGGCGCCTACAATTCTGAAAAAGTTTATCAGAGGTCCACGACATGTTTGTTTACGTGATGACGAGAAACCGTAACAGTCCCCTTTCCCCGCCACTACACACTGTCTGCTCCAAGTACCTATTCGCCTACATGACACATTGTCTTGACAGAAACAAGCGAGGAGCTGAAGGCGTTTCGAAAGAGAAATAATGACGAGCTAAAAGGGACGTAGGATATTAAATTATTAACGGTACGCAGCGAGCCATTCCTTTTGGCACCAAACCTGAGGAGACACAGAAATGACAGTCTGAATAAATTCTGTCTAACATTATCTCAAAACCTTTAGATGTCCACATCAACTTCGAAGTGTTCCAAGGTTGCTTCTCTACTCGAGATTGTAAACTGACGTATTTTAACTCAGCTTTTTTCAGATTAAATCTCTCCATGTTAAACTTTGTGTTGTTCGTTCGCTTACCGACGTATCTTCCAGACATTCAACCATAAGATGCTCTACAGCTCAGTAAAATACAGCTACACAGTATTTAAGCCATTCCCTCGAAAGTATCAATAATCAAATATATTTGAAAACCGTCTTGTATCAATCCCAACATAAATCGATTTAACTGTATAACATTTAAGGATTCAGTCCGTACCGCGAAGAAAACACAAAACTTCACCATTACAAAGATGAAATAGTTACGTCTCTTCCCTTCTGGTTTGCACACCAAAACCCGGTATGCATTCCACTTCTCTCCCATGCGGCCTACATGCCTTGCCCATCACATTCTCCTTGAACTGACCAGTCTTATATTTGTCGTGGTGATAGAGATAAAACGGGAGATTCAGCTCGTGATCGATTCTACTTTGCGTGGAATGTAAAACTTCGCCTGCAAATCAGCGGTCTGACATCACGCCAAACACAGCTGTCGGAGAAGTTTCCGTACCGCGAGGGTTTGTCCGTACAGCAACAAGCGTTCATGATCGTTAAGGCAGAACGTAAGCAGCGTGCTACGCCTCTGACCTAATTTTGTATCGATTACCTGCTGTAGTATATTATCAATAATCACTTTAGTTCTGACTGAAAACTAACCATTGAATAAAGCATTGTTTTCTAGCGGTAATTACCAACATTTCGAAGGAACGAAATTGGTTGTATTCTGGGAGACGTTTCACAGGTCCTTGCAGCTTCCATCAGCAGGGCGATAAGCGCCGTGATAATGGAGGCAAAAAATACCTCCGAAACGTCGGTAAACTTCCCGAACTAAACAGGACTTACTTCTCGTTCGTTGAGTCGGACGCTGGCTTTTATGACCACGGCCAGCCTTTGTCTTTTTGCGCCGAGCTTTAGAGAACAACTTTCAGGGAGCACTTTGACATATGACGGTAAGGGTCACAGCACCCTAGGGTCCGAACGGCAAAGTGCCTGAACTTCAAGAAAGCGTAGAGAGGAAGACTACGGAGACCCACACGTACTTCAAAGTAATAAGTTGAGTAATAAAACCCAGTGTTTTTTTATACTAAGATCCACTTCAATGACGCTCTATTACACTAAAATTTAGAAGTGCGGTGTGAGAATACGGTAAAGTGACAAGCTTTTGTTAATACGATAATGAAACTTCTGATTCCATAAGAAACGCTGGATTTCTGAGACCGGCTAAGAGTTCTGATCAATGGAGATTGTTAATTAATTCGTTGGTTAGTTAATACTGAAGCTGAGAGATCACTAGAGAAACATTGGCATAGATTGTATAATAATATTAAAATGGATGCGGAACAAATGATGAGATGCAAAATTGTGGATTGGGTTAGTATCCGAATAGGATTCAATGACTTCCTCTGAATTCAGTTTAAAAAACCTCTGGTTCCATAAAAGGCGGTCGATTTCTTGATCAAATGAGCGGCTTCTTATGGAGTTAGTTATGAGCCTGGATAATACTTACAGGCTAGTAATTATTGTGTGTATTACAAAGCTGCGAAAAAACAAAACAAATTATTGTGTATGAAGATTATTGTTACTGTTTCGCCGTGTACTCTGATAGAAGTTTGCCGACGTTTCGGAGGTAATTACAGCATCTAACAAGAGGGCGAAACATCTCAAAGATTTATTAAAAACATATTTTTTTAGATTAATAGACAACAGAATGTTTGCGCATCCACAAATGGTCTCTGACATCGGGGATTGATCCAACGTCAAAATGCGAATCCCAGCACGAAATTAATTTCTGAGAAAAGACGTGACTGGAGCGCCTGGGAAAGACTTTAACAGGCTCAGGTAGAGAGTGCACTGGAGCGCACATTTACGCGCATAAATCCGCCTTCGTGAGTACCGCAACATGAAACAAAATCCCCAAAGAAAAGCCTCCAACCTACGTGCCCTTATGGGCGCGTGGAGCTACTTCTCCCTTCCTGACACTTTTAAATGAATTATAAAGAAAAAATTATGACTTAGTAGTCAAAGGAGCGTGTTCGACTTTGCCCCACATTTTTGCCTGTAGACGCTCTCCTGGACAGTGATGAAGTATGGTTTCGGAGGAACGTACGTCCTGAAGATGGAGGCAATACTTTCCTACGAAACACTGAATTACAAGCCGCGCAATCGAAATGAATATGACTCTTGTGGGACGTTGAAAATTGCGGTCTCGTAGAAACTGATAGCATTTCAGAGGGGCTTACTGCCTCCATCATCAGGGTGATTTTAATCTTATATAGCAATTAATGCCTAGATCTTCAGAATGGTTTCTCTCTTTCAGGTTTTCAATCCAAGATTCTGTACGATCTCAACCATGCATGTTAACCCCCCACCCAACCCGTTTCACCCCCCTTTGCTTATCTATTTCCAAAGAACGATTTTCCTTGCTCGTCTTTTATCAAATTGTGACAATTTGTATTTAAATGCACGAGATTCACAATTCGTGTTTTTCACCACAAATTATTAGACTAGCAAAATTAAGGAAAGGCGAGGCATGTAGAATGGAATAGGGAGAGAAATTAATTCCGAAAATCAGAAGTAAGGAGAGCACTTTGGAGACTTAGGAGTACATAGGATGATAATATTAAAGTGAATCTTAAATAAATAGTGTGTGAGCATGTGGGCTAATCCTAGTGCCTAATTGGTGGGCTCTTGTGATCAACCTAATAAGCCACCGGTTTCTAGAAAAGGCGGTTAATTTCTCGACCAGTTAAGTGACTATCAGCTTCTAAAGAAGGTTCCTGCTCCATCGACCTTTTAACACACGTCACGTAATGGTGGTCAGTATAAACCTTGAACACGTTTGGACGCCCAGATATATACAATTATTTATTACGACTATAAACTGGAACAAGAATATATTAGTGTTTCAAATGGAATGCCATCCGATTACAGGAAGGGTTTCAATTGCGATGCTTAACTTAACTTCCGATACTAACACTGTTTAATTAATCATCATAATGTATCTTCATACAAATTTTAACTCCGGAAATTAACATCGTCGTAACAGCATTTCCGGTTTGACACAAACGTTCTCTCATTTTGCAGCCTCTGGGACGAAATAACCTATGACAGCAGCAGCGCCGATAGTGGCTGGAACTGGAACTAACATTAAAGTTATGTAGTGGATGTTATGAACACAGAACACAGCCTGAAGCTTGTTCCGAGATCATGTGTATCGAACAGTGTCATCGAGTGGTTAGCATTCC